CAGATGCAGCACTGCCTGTAATTAACAGGCAGCTCTCCATCCATGACAGGTTACACAGCGGGGAGGCTATCCCTTCTGTGTAACCTGTAACAAGCCGATCTGAATGGAGCCTTTTCCTCCATAACACTGGGTAATGCTCTGCCTCCCCTGACCGCACGTCCCTGGACTCCATGGCTTTTCAGGGAGAGTTTGGTTACAGCTTCCATGCACCGCAGGCCCAAACACCTGACACTGCATCACTCGAGGTAAGAGTTACTGATCCTTGTCTTAAGCAGCGGCAACCACTGGACCAGCTGCCACCAGGCTCCAGGGGGATTCCAAGGCTAGTCCCCAGGCTTTGAGGCCTGGTGAGCTCAGGCAGTCCAGCGCAGCCTCCACGCAGGCAGGGCCTGGGGGAGGAAGAGAGAGCTCACATGGCCCATCCCGAGTATTTACTGTATCTCTTCCCCCAGCATGCACTACTGGCTCCTTCAACAGTGATTGGCTGGGTAGGGATATCTACTCCTAGCAATCACATTGGTTCCTCTGTTCTATCACCAGGGCACACCCTACAGTACCTCTGGTAGCAGACAGATGGCAAGCAATGATAGATTGTTTAGGGGGAGAGCCACATGAACCAAACTACAAATTAGCATCAGACCACATACAATCTGATAAACACTAGATTTAACAGCACCCTTTTCACCAGAGCGCTACACCGGTATACATATAGCGCCAACAAATGCAGCACTTTACATAATGCACGTTCACATCAGTCCCTGTCCTCAGGGAGCTCACAATCTAAAGTCTCTATCTCCCATGTATGCTAGGGCCAGTTTAGACAGGAGGCAATTAACCTAACAGAATGTCTTGGGAGTGTTGGAGGAAACCCACTCAGGCACAGGGAGAAAATACAAACTCCATACAGATAGTGTCCTGGCCAGGATTTGATCCAGGAACACCCAGCACCAGGCAGAAGGGCTAACCACTAAGCCACTGTGCTTACCCACTTCTGGTACTTACTTTTGAATGAACTGCAAACAGGCCAGAGCATACAATACAGACAGCATCATTTTTAGCAATGCAGTACCCCACAACATGCATAATGCAATACCATGTGTTGTGGTGGACTTCAGCACAGGTGCATTGTGGTGTTGTATTGGGATGCCGCTCCAGTGCACATAATGCGTGCATTACTGAAACACAATGGTGTAAATGTGCCCTTAAAAAAATATTCCTCAGTTATGCTTAAAATCGTCCTCAGATACATTTACCTCTTAGCCAATAGCAAGATCCTCACCCAGCTCTCTAATGGCTTACTTTTAAACTAATGTCAATATAACATTATCCTGAAGCTGAACATACACTATACCAGTTGATTGTACAACTTACAATCTACTATGAAATGTAAATTGTAGGTTGATGTAGATCTACAAGAGATGTAGTTTGTAGGTTGATGTAGATCTCTTAATATCTACAATCAACTATGAAATGCAAGGGCTTGCCTGATTTGATACAAACTGAATGGATTGTGTGTTCCTATACAGTTTTGGAAAATCTAAAAGAGGTTGCACAGCCCCTTTATGTATGGCATTGGTGAGTTCTAATTGCTTGCCTTACCTGTAGACCTGATAGCTCAGTCTCAGACAATATATAGTGGTGACGTCCATATGAAAGATTTCCTCCATGTCGTTGCAAGGAACATTCAAAGTTATACCTAAAGTGGAAAAAAAGTACATATATAGTTCAGTCTGTCAGTAGCATTACCATTGCAGTTTTTGTTTTTCTGAGTCCTCCCTGTAAAATAGTTTTCTTACCTGTTAATCCTTGCCAATGGACCCATTATGTTTCCACTTCCTGTAATAGGGTGACAATGCTGTCCATTTTAAAGAGCAATCATCCAACAGCGCTGTCACTTCCCTGTGGATAGGATACTCTTAAAGGGACATGTAGTTTTACAAGGGCTGTAAGAAACAAAAAAACCTTCCTCCAGCTAACAGTTTTAAGCAGTTACAGCAACAGTATTTTATTCTTTTGGAAAAAGTTGTAAACCCTATAGATTAAAGCTGGCAATTGAAAGCACCCCTACTAGCGTGGTTTGTCCCAATCCCTGCAATTGGCACTATTGCTGGACAGCTTGGTCTGTAAATAGAAAAGCAAAAAAAAAGATATACTGGAAGGATCACAAGGTAATAAAACTATGTTACGTGGGGACTTTGAAAAACAAACTTCTCTGTCAGTGCTAGAGACAGACTGCATATATCAGTTCTGATATTGCCAATAATTACTTAATAGTTCACACTAGAATTTATCCTAGTGGAGTTTGTAATCTACACCTATCCCATGTAGGGCCAGCGTGGCCAGATACCAATTTACCTATCAGCATGTCTTTTGTACTCAGAAGGAAAACCTGTACAAAAAGTAAGATAAACATGTGAAAAGTATAATTAAAGATATCATAATATCAAGGTCCAGTCCAGAATAAAAAATACAGAAGGGAAACAATGCTAACTATATAAATTGTTCATCCCTTATATGTACAAAAATGTATTTCACTAGATTTTAACATATAAACTTGCAGATAAGGAAAATTTGGATTTGTAAAGTGTTAAAGTAAAAAGAATACAGAATTAAAATACACACCTTCTTTTTAGACATTTAGAACATCCTGTCTGTTTTGTAACCAATGCTCCCCAGCTATGGTATCCCCCACAGTCCCATACAGGGATTAGTGCCCTACACACTTGATGTTTCAGTGCAGATCCGGTACTCATACTATGTATTGTAAGCGTCATCATATTAGAAAGAAGGTTGATGCAAATGAGAGTTGTAATTATTTATGCCTTTACAGTTGCTGTTTGTATCATTGTAGATGCCAAGTTCATATTGTCTGAAGAAGCAGACTAAGTTCTGCGAAATGCGTTACAAAAGTATGCTCTCATGGCAGAATTGCTGATCTCCATCATCTAAGAGTAATGGTGTGCCATACCTGGATAACTCAACTGATTAATTGTTGTAAAGTGGCGGGCTTAGACACACAGAGGGGTTTAAATTCGATCAATAATATTTCTAAAGCTATTATAAGGGGGCAAAAAAATTACTTTGCCTCAACAAGCATTATTTCACTTTGTTATATGTGTGTATTTTATGATGAAAGTGAATAAATCTGAAGTTTTTAGATATTTTAATACTGTATACTGTTTACTCTGACACCTTTAAAAAATGTTTTTCCTTATCTGCAAGTGTTAAAATAAGATATAGTTGTATCGTGAGATATTGAATCTGTGACAATCTATACATTATCGATTGAGTTTTAATGAAGAATTCCAGGGAAATGTATTATTAGCCCTTGCAGTGGGGCTAGACTCGCACTGCAAGGGTTAAGTGCTTGTTTGTGTCTAAGGGAAACTAACAAAGTTATACTCACCGGATCCTCTGAGCCAGCTTGCTCTTAGACCAGTCTCTGAAGCTTCTCTCCCCCTTTGCTCCAGTGGTCTAAGGTCCTGTGAGTGATCACGTCCAATACACTGTGTATAGAACGTGAGGGCACAAAAGGACATTCCATTGCTGCAGTGTAGGAGGAGAGAGACTGGAGGCAGCACTGTCACAGCCGGCTGCCTCTGAGGATGGGGTGAGTATAGCTTTGTTATTTTCCTCCCTAGACTAAAAAGAGTTGCTTTATAATACATGGTGCTACTTTCCAAGTTTATATAACCATTCATCTGATGTAATTATTTATAAGCTAATGTTGTTAGCTACAGGCAGATACACAATATCATGGCTCTATTACTCACACATTAATCACATGAATTTTACAGTTATATAAAAGGTTTGGTAACTGAGAGCAGTTTTGGTAGCCTGTCTGTTAATTGGGTATGTATGTGTGTAGAAGTTGTTTGCTTTTAGGTGTTATATGTATAAATGTATATTATTTGACCAGAGCCGAATGACAGCCAGGTCATACAAGGAGAAAGAGTCCTTTTTTTAAAATTGTATGTTACAGACTATAGACAACAAACTATTTAAATATTGTTATCTTATCTCCTCATTATCTGAAAAGAACCGACTCAAGGGATGTGGACACTTGTTACACTTGTGGGGTACCTTGGATGGTCGCAGAGTAGTGTGAGTAGTGTAGGCTGACAGCACCCTGAGCAAGAAAGTATCTTCCACTTCCTGTGGAGTGGCTACTAGAAATGTAGCTGTGCTAGTACAGTAATCTAGCAGATTTATAGTTGGTTATTATCTGGTTAATTCCAGGTGTCATCAGCTAATCACTGGGAGTTCATGGTCAGAGGTGCATGCTGGGGGAGTGCATATATACTCAGGGGATTGCCATGTAGTCAGTTCCAGTCTGCCCCTAGAGCCTGGGAGTGGGATGCTCAAGGAAAGAAATGGTAACTGCTCTACATCACTTTCTGTTCATTCATAAATGTGGACATAGTGACTGATACTATATCCACAAACATGAATGGTCAGTAAGTGATGTAGAGCACTTCCTGTTCATTCAAAACTGGGGACACAGTAAGCATATATAAGTTTATGAATGGACAGGGGCTGCAGAAAAAGATTTAGGACTATGCGTCCTCAATCTCTTTTTCTATTTTAAAAGGGAAATATCAGGGGTCTGTTTGGAAATAACAATGAAATTAATAAAAATTATTCAATTTTTTTAAAAGGTTGGGAAAAAAAGTAATTTTTGTTTTCGGCCTGACAAATTTTTTATTTTCGGTTTTGATTTCGGTCTTAAAATTCCATTTTGGAGCATCTCTACTAATTATATGTTAATGTGCATAGAGCTGAATTAAGTTGGGTCTTTTGAATTTGCCTAGAATTCAGCTTTTAAACAATAGATATTTTATGAAAAAGAAGTAAAAGACTGGATTTGCTGTATACTTCTAATAACTTTAACATATGTTAAACTTTGTAAATATTTATTCTCTCATTCACTTCTCACCTTTATATTATATGTATACAGATTACATAATGTAACTAATTATTCTGTTCTACTCTGACCTTAGTTCATAATGCATCGGATGAAAGTCCTGGGAGTGATCGTTGGGATTGTGGCTTCTTTGGTGATCGGGATTCTAATTGGGCATTTTGCCATTCCACCAAGGTTACCCACATGGCTCCAACGAATGAGCACAGATGGAGACCCCAAATACAGCAACCAGCTGCACCAAGAGATCCGAGCAGAAGAGATCCATAAGAACTTGCAGTAAGACCAAATTGCTTTCTTCTAAATACCATGCCACTGTCATTGCTTAAATGTGCGTCATTCTCTGAATGCTTTATTATCTTGAAATTTCACTTGCATAAATTGTATATACAAAGAACAAAGTGTATGCCAGCTATTACACCTGTCACGAAGTCTCTGCATTTCAATATTACATATTGTTAACCACAGCCAGTCCTTTCATTGATTTAAATGAATGCGCATAAATGTCCAGACATTAGACGTTAGTGACTGACATCACAGTATGCATTGTTTGCAGCCTATTATTCCATCCATCACCAAAATCTAACTCCAGCTCAGTAATTATTTTATTAAATGTATTTATTTTTTCACGGTGTATTCCACTTTGCTGTGAGCTTTGTTTATTCATATGCTAACCATAGATTATATCTGCCAATACAAAAATAAACTGGGCACTCCAAAAGTGAGCTTTTGCCTGTTGAGTGTTTATATTGCTATTATGTGCCCTACTGCAGAGATCTTCTGTCTCAGTGGTGTCATAGACAAAATTAGATTTGATACCACACTTATCCTAGAAGAAAAAGGTTCAAGTGCACCCATATAGCATAATGCTAGAGAAACTGATGTGGACACAAGAGCATCTGTATAGCAGTTTCTACTTTATTAGGATAACCAATATTTATTTCTATAATTGTTAATAATGTATTCTGGGAGTTTCTAGGTGTTAACAACTTATTAAATGTGTATATTAGATATACTGTGAAATCAGCATCATGTGAAAATTGTTTTAAAACTTAAGTTATGTGTCCTCGGCACAAAATAATTATTATCGGCAGGATGTAGCCTAAACAAAACCACAAGTTCCCAAACCAAGGATACAAAAGGAGAAAATACACAGTGTGAGTGCTCTGAGTGTCCATAATATCTTTGTCAATTCCTCCCTTTTTGATGATATCATCACTCCTAACAAGGACTCTTAGAGTGTCCCAAGGTATATCCGGGTAGGGAGATACAGAGGGTCTCCCAACTGGCCGGGAAACCTACAGTCTTCTCCATCAGGAAGTCCATTACCTTGAGTTGGAGTGAATAAAGCAAGTCTTAGTTAGACATAGTTCTGGATCTTCTGGATCTTCTGGATCATCACTTTTCAGAAATCGTCTTTGAACGGTTGTAGGGGACCATTCCATAGTAGTATGCATTCTGGCAGGGCTGGATTTACTCTCCCTGCTGCCCCAAAGCCAGGTTCCTCAATGCGTCCCCCTCCCCCCCAATGGAGAACAACAACCGGATGGGGGGGTGGCAGGGCTAGTTTTATTTAATTTTTTTGTTACTTTAATTTT